CACTTCTTATTAAAAAGTTTCTGCATGTCAAAAGAAATCTCCAGCATAGTAAAAAGAAAACCCACAAACTGGGAAAAGATTTTAGTGAACTCTCTCTCAGACAAGGGCCTCTTGTCTAAAACATATATAGAATTAAAGAAACTCAGACCTCCAAAATTCAAAGATCCAATCCAAAAATGGGCATCTGAGATGAATACGCAATTCTCAGATGAATAAATGCAAATAGCAAATAAATACATGAAAAAATGCTCATCATCATTGGTCACTAGAGAAATGCAAATTAAAACCACACTGAGATACCATCTCACTCCTGTAAGAATGGCCAGGATCAAGAAAACCGACAACAAATGCTGGAGAGGCTGTGGGGAAAAAGGAACTCTCCTGCACTGCTGGTGGGAGTGTAGACTGGTACAGCCTTTGTGGAGATCTGTCTGGAGATTTCTCAAAAAGTTGGGACTGGAAATCCCATTTATCCCAGCTATTCCACTTCTAGGCATATTCCCAGAAGAACTGAAAGCATCATACCACAGTGATATATGTGCACCTATGTTTATAGCAGCACAATTTGTAATCGCCAGATCTTGGAAACAACCCAAGTGTCCATCAACTGAGGAATGGATAAAAAAGTTGTGGTATGTCTATACAATGGAGTATTATTCAGCTATAAAGAAGGATCACATTGAGATATTTATCAATAAATGGGCGCAGCTTGAGACCATACTCATAAGTGAAATAAATCAATCTCGCATGTGTGAATACCGAATAGTTTCCCTAATGTAAATAATGATTCAAATATATAAAAATATGTGGTAATCATGATTCCCCATTAGGTGGCCTTGAAGCCTTATAAAGTTTTCACTCATTAATTAGAAAGGCTTTATTCTGGGCTTCTTGATATGGAAATATTTTAAGCTAGAGTATATAAAGTTTTATCCAAATAGTTCAAGGAAAAAGACATTATGGTAACTACTATTAAGTCGGGTTATAAGGTGGTGAAGTACTAGGTTGTTGAAACAGTCATGCTGTGACCTCTATTGTTATATTGTTATGTCCTGTTTTATCTCAATCTTCCCCTTATTGTTTTAAAAAAATCATTATTTAGTCATTTCTTATGTTTGTCTTAATTAAAGAAAAAATTCAAAAAATTAGGATATATAAATAGTAACTCTTTTTGATTTCCTATTAACTTGTTTTGAAGGCCTGTAGTACTCCCACGATCTTGTTTTGACTGATTAGACTCTGTTCCATTCTATATGATAGTATCAAGTTTGAAGACATAGGCAACTACTTTGAAGACAATAAGATTCACTAAGATACCCATTCTGGTTTGACTATTGTCTTCTTTGGAAGTCCTGTAATGTTTACAATGCCTAAGTTTTATTGGTCTTGTTCTCTACTGTTTTGTCCAACTTTATAATATCTAATAAGATAGACAATTCTTTTTAAGGAAACAAGGGACAACGTTGATAACCATTGTTGATAAACTTGTACTCTGTTCTACACCATGTGCTATGTCTATCCTTGCTATTGACTGACAGCTTTGTTTTGCCATATTTGACTGTATTCTTCCCCCCCCCCAAAGAAAGTAATAAGCACTAAGGAGTAATAAAATCCAAGATGTGTAAATTTTGTTGTAAAAAAGAGAGGGAAAAAAAAAAAAGAAAAAGAGCTCTAACGGGTATAACAGCAAGTGTGTTTGGGGGTGTTAAATAGCTGACTATATCAATGTTTTTGGATCATTGAACACAGCTGTTTGCAGTCTCCCTGTTTGAATGTCCACCTTGTGTTCTTTGATACTGTGATTTGAGGAACTATTTTCAAGATGATAGTGTGTAATCTACTAGCAGGTGATTTCTTACTGTTATGTTGGTTTTTTTTTTTTTTTTGTAGTTCTGTATTGTGTGTACCCTTACGCCGCTTTGGTTTGTTTTGTGTTTTTCTCTTTTTCCTTTTAAATAAAAAAAAAAAAAAAAAAAGGAAATACATTATTTCTCCATTAATTTTAAGAGAGTTTTTCTGGGTATATCAGTGTTCGTTGCAAATAATTTTCTTTCAGGGCTTGGGATATTTCTCCCCAGTCCTTTCTTGATTTGAGAGTTTGTGTTGATGAATCTATTATTTTGATAATTTTCCCACTGTAGGTTATCTGGTTCTTTTCCCTGGCTGTTTTTGTATTCTGTTCTTTTGGTGGATTTCTGGAATCTTGATTATTATATGTCTGGGTGTATATCTGTTTTGGTTGTAAGTAGCTGCAGCTCTGTATGCCTCATATATCTGGATATCATTTATTTTTCCTATACTTGGGAAGTTTTTCTTTAATATTTGTGTGTGTATTCTTTCTATTTCATTTTTAGCTGCTCCTGCTTCCTCACTCATATGCTTTATTCTTAAGTTATGTATCCTTTTGTCACCTTCTAGCCTTTGAATTGTTTCTTTCTGATTCCTCATTTTTTAAGGGGTATTTTCTTACATGATCATATATCATAAATCTCTCTTCAAGTTTCAAAAGGCTACCTTTAGTTTCTGTCAAGGCATTTTGCCAGTGATCAATGGTGTTTTTAGTTTCATGGTAATGTCTTTGGATCTGTTTCATGTATTCTAGCTTGTGTTTAAATTCTTCTTCTGAAGTTTCTCTTTCTGATTTCCCACATTCTTCCATCTGTGTTTCCTTGGGTGGGGCTTATCATTTAATTAATCTCATTATATCTTGCTTCACTTGGATCAGAAGTACAATTTTCAATTAATCTATGAGGTCATGAAGGTATTTCTTTATTTCAGCTGATGCTGTGTCTAGTATTGAATGGTTTCTGTGGTGTTCTCTTCTGTGTTTACTTCTCCTGGGCTCATTTTCTCACATACAGCAACAAGATTTTTTTATTTCTATCTCTTGTCTTGTTTCCGGTTTCTTTCAGACTGGAGTGGCCTGTGGGTCTCTGACCCTCTCTATATTGTTTAGGGACTTTCTGAAGCATGCTGACTTCAGTTTTGCTGCCCTCCCCAATTTGTTGTTATATGAGGTAGGCAGGGATGCAAGGATGATGCAGACTAGCTTCCTGCCTCTGTGCCAGGCAATCTGCAAGTTAGGCTGTACCTTGTGGACATCACAGTCACAACAATTTTGTATCTGCTTATTGGGTCCCAACCAGAGGCATGGTTCAGCCCTAGCAGATCCTGCCAGTTCTCTCTGTGCCAGAAGCAGCTGACTAATGTCACCATAGCACAGGGCTCTGCCCAAATCCCAGCTGTCCTCTACCATACCACTCTGACAGGAACAACTATCTAATGTCACTGCAGCGCTGGGTCTGCTCAATTCCAAGATGTCCTCCACCAGTCCTCTCTGTGTCACTGACGATATCATGGTGCAGGGCTCTGCCCAATTTTAAAATGTCCTACACCAGACCTCTCTGCACCAGGGATGACTATCTGATGTCACCACGGTGCCAGCTCTGCCCAACTCCAAGATGTCCTCCACCAGACCTCTCTGTGTTACTGATGCCACCATGTGGCAGGCTCTGCCCAATTCTAAGATGTCCTCAACCAGCAACAGCAGCTGTGGGACCCAGTCCTTAGTACTCACTGGGACTCAGCGCAAATCTTTCTCCTGAGTCCAATGCAAATTGCACCACTTTTCTTCACTGCATACCCTGGTACAGCATGGATCAGTCAGAAAACTATATGGTGTCTGGCTTCAGAGCTCTGAAGCTTGCAGTCTTCTCTGGCACAGCCAGCTGGCCCTGGCTGCTTTGCAGGGTCCTGGTTATCAATTTCCAACAGTCTCCAAAAGCCAATACAGCTTTTCCTCTTGGATCCACTGGTCAGTGTGCTGCATTAATGGTGCAGGGTTTGCAGCAGCCATGGTCATGGCACAGCCTTAAATCCTCTGGCCATGCCAAGTACAGTGTGGAACAGGGCTCCATGAGTACATTGGGCTTCAGCTCTCCATCCATGCTTTTCCTTCCTTTTCCCAGTTTTATTTTTCCCTTCAGTTACTTCCTTGGTTAATAAGAATCATTATCGATTCATCTGGCCCGCTCTATATTGTCATATTCTAGTATTTAATATGAAACTCTCCCTCAAATCCTCTAGCAAGCTGCCATTTGTGAAACTCCCCTACAAATTTATTATTATATCAGAGATTGTAAATGTCCTTTCATGTGCTGCATTAAACAACACACTGTGTGGATCATTAACATTTGATGATTTTAATATTTTTGACAATATACTGAAAACCAATGTACATAATGACACAGTACAACTCACTCAAAGGTCATGAGGTAGAGGCAGGAGGAAGCACTGACCAGTATGAGATACACTGTAAGTTTAAAGTCAACTTGAGCTACAGTACAAAATCATGGCTCAAAAGTACAAAACAAAAACTGATGAATGTACATGTTAAAAAATATGAAACATATTATAACTTTGAGATCTCTGAATATTTATTACTATGTTTCTATTTTATGTATAAATCAATAATGTATGAGGAAATTTAAACATGAAAAGCTAAACATTTTATAGGACATTTTCAAAGTACTTATTGTAAACAGTAACATTCATTTGCATTTTGAAAATTCAATCTTTGTAAAACATTTTTTTACATCATGAAAGCCTCAGTATTCACATGAATACATAAATGGTCATTTTGAAGATGAGTTTCTATCAAAATTCACAGTTATCTGTATTTCTTACATATTAGAATATAATATTTAAATTTCTCTCATACATTTCCGTGAGGTTGATCAGGAAGGAAAATTTCAAACTGATATATTAGTGTTTTTTGTTATATACTATCAGCACTACCTATGATTCCTATGTTCAAATACTTTTCTATGGATTCCCAAATAAAACAAAATAAAAACAAGTGTATCTCTTGATATTTTTCTAAGTTTAAATAAAGTGTAACATGATTTCATTCCTTCAAGTTCCCTTGTTGCAATATTCATGCTCAAATACTGAGGAATTACTAATGCTCTTTGTACAAATAAATAAAACATCATACTTACCTACTGCAGTAATATTCATATATGTTTTCCTCATCACATCTCTGTAGAGCTTCTTTTGGAATGGAGACAAAAAATTCCACTCTTCTAGGGTAAACTTCACAGCCACATTCTCAAAGTTCACTGTCTCCTACATAATAACAAGAGTGCTCAAGGTTAGAAACATAACTAATATATTTCAGCTTCACTTATAAAATGTCTAACTGAAGGACATTCTTTCAAGAATTGACTGCAATGTCAAGGTCATCCAAACACAAGTGCATTCAAATATTGTCACTCAGTAACACTGATGCCAAACTATAACACAATGCCAAAGCACCACAGAAATGTGGCATGGCTTAACTTGCAGAGCTGCTTATATTTTAATTTTTACTGACTTTAAAAGAAGAGCTCAAAGAGGGACCCTGCAAATGCACATTGACAAAACACCTAGTTATTCATAACACTGAGTTCATCTTTCTTTCTAGATGCATTTACACTCTTGAAAATGTTTTCCTAGATAAATATTTAGTTGAATATGAAAGGAGGTCTATGAAGTACTAAAATTTAATGAAAATAAAGGTTTATTTAACCATTCTTTAGGCAAGGAAATTAGGGAAAGTTAGTCATAATCTTATAACCCAGGAACACCAAATTATCTCCTTGTACATGAATACTAGAAAATCTACTTGGGTGTAAAGGAAGACAATGTGGGAAAAAAGATTTTGGAAGTGCAATGAAAATGGAGGTTTAGCAAAATAACTGGTCACTAAATACAGAAGGAAGAGTTCAGCCCACTGGGGTGGCACAGGCCTGTTCTCCCTGGACTTGAGAGGTTGGTGTAAGAGGATTACCAGGAATTTCAGCAATGCCATGTGTAGTGTCCAGTCTGGGCTATGTAATAAGGACAGTGCAGACTACAGAGTGAGGCAATGCATCAAGCTCCATCACCAAATAAAAATTAAAATTAATTCAGTAATTTACCAATCACAGCCTTGTACCAGGGATACATCTCGGTGGTATGAGCAACTGACTGATATGTGCAAGGCCCTGAGTTCAATTTCCAACCCCAAATAACCAAACTAAACACACCTTTGATTTTTTCAACAATTATAGATGAAAGTTAGAAAAAAAAGCCTACAAATGTTCAATACTTTTGAGCAAGGAAATATTTTGCATAATAAACATGAAAAACATTCAAAGTTCAACATTCATATCACTGGACAAATGGATCTCAGGAAAGGGTGACAACTTTCAATGCATCTAAATGGAAGTAGAATATTCTTGCACAATTCAGCTCATGTTGTGCCTCTCAAGAAGAAAGCACAATACATTTCATTTACATTCAGAGAGAAACAGGTATGTCCTAGAATTCTGAAATATGCAATATCCTGGCCTATGTGCATTGACATGGGAAAGAGAAATGTGAATGACTATGAAATTTATACTACAAAACACAGAGTTAATGAAAAAGTTTCCTGAGGAGAAATGCAAGCAGCCAAGGAAATCAGAAGAAACTGAAATCTATAGAATGGGAATTAAACAAGAAAATATTTATGAAAGGAAATAACAAAGATTTTACATTCAGAGTAAAGATGAATGAGCACAAATCTAAAAATAATCAAAAACTTATTGACTCAGGAGAAATACTGAACAGAAAACAAAATCTAAATCACATTTATGAAAATCACCAAATATTGAAGTGTGTAAGAACAAAATATTTAGATTTACTAAGTCAACACTCAACTCCTAAATTCCACAAACACCTTTACTATGGAGTTTATGAAAATCCACAGAAAAGGTACTCCTTTATAATGTCTAGAAAATAATTTGTGCAATTATTCCTGGAAATACATGTGATTCTTTTCAAGAGAAATTAAAAAGTCAGAAACTGTGTCCAAAAGACTAAATGAGAAAGGCCTTGATTTTTGGCCTTGATTCACATACCAGCCATGGTGAACAAAAGTAAAAAATGATTACATTGAGAAATACCACAAAACCTAACACAATATTTCTTTGTGCACTTTTTAAGCAGTTCCTGAAAAGTAAAAAGGAAGAAACTAAAAAAAAAAAAAAAAAATCCAAAACAACAACCACAACAATGACAACAAACAGTCTCCATGAAAAAGCACACATTGTAAATTTTGGAAAATTTCCAAAGAAGAGTTGTCATCAATAATGCAATAAAACTTTCTGATCTGAAAGGATTTTATCACATGGTTACTTTCCTTTCTTCCCTAAGATCCAATGGTAAAACACTCTGAATACATGTGGGACACTTTCATTGTTATCACTAAATCTAAACAAAAACTTTTGAGAATAAGCTTTCTTTAAATGATTAAAACAATAAATTGAAATTCAGGTATTTAGTCTTTTATATCTGCCAAACTACAGTGGCAATATCAGTGCAATAAATTCACAGCTAACAGTTGTGTAATGGTAAATTCACCAAAAGGAGAACAGGTCAGCCTATCAGGGAGCAGGTGACATTATCAAGAGAACAGGTCAGATTAAAAGGAATGGAGAGAATATGTGGCAAAGCTGATGGATAGGTAGAAAACTACATAATGGGCAAATACACCACCTGGAGAGCAGCAGTTATTATGTGGATACTGCTGAGGATAGATTAAACAGAAAGCTGTGAAAAAACACATACCTGGGTGGCACTGATTCAACAAATCTACTGAAGCTACATTAGTTTGACTATATTCCATGTGTACAATCTGCATTTCTTTAAAAACTAATATCATTCCTTAATACATATCCCACTACAAAGAGCAACTAACTACCAAAACAGAAACAGGATTGGAAGAGAAAAATCAATCATTTATAAGAATATATTTAAGAATTCCTAACAAATCTATCAGTGAGTGACAGCTCAGGAAGGCAGAGCAGTATTTAAAGTCACCATCAAGTCAACATGATAACAAATCAAAGCACCATATCAGATGGATTCTAGTGAATATTTTATCACAGAAATACATGGCACACAGTCATCAAAACAAGTCAACTGTTTGCACATGTGGCCCAGGTTGAGACTAGCAGTACAGAACATAACATAGTGGAGTGGAATCAAAGTCATGAAAAGAAAGCTCTTACAAAATGCTGGAATGAAATTAGAAATGAAAAGCTGAAACAAATGAAGAATACTTTTAGAATGAGAGATCAAACCACAAATTTTAAATTACATGCTTCAAATAAACAGCTTAAATAAAGGATTTCATAATCTATGACAATGAATGTACATTTTTTGAGTTATTTCAGTTACTCAAAATCAGTGCCTCAAAACATATTAACAAGAGTGGATAAAGGTACTGGAAAAGAACAAACACTTCAATTTCAGAACATTACAGAACACAAGGCAGAACTATGAGGTGAGTGCATGGCATTAATCTGCATTGCAGTCTTATGAAGTCTTACAATACGGCCAACAGTGCCCATAACAGGTCCATCCCTGAGCAGTGGGAGCTGAATTCCCAGAGAGAAGTAGAGATAACTGCTGAAATATGAAAATGTTAATTACCCTACAGAAAACAGGATATTTCATTGCTCTATATTTGTGCATATTCTAAAGGACAATAGAGAATAAACTCTCAAAAGTATTAGTGGTGTTATTGAGTAATTAATATAATTAAACACATTAAAATATAGAGAAAAACATCCTATAATGATGTCAGTGGACACAGAAAAGACACAAGAAACAAAATAAAATTAACAGAGAATCAGTTGGAATTCATACAAATGTATCCACTTTCAAATAACAGTGTATATGGTGGAAACATTAAAGTTTCATCAAAAATTAATAAAATTTATAAGATAATGTACCGCAGACAACATCTCTGGATTGAAATACAGATATGTGCCATCTAAAAATGGAGCAGGTATAAACAAGTGGATTGAAATTATGAGCACATACCACATGCAATTCACACTGACATAATTTCAAAAATGTAAAAACCATATTTGAAGGAGCTATAAAAAATCACAAAATGTGTCATTTACCTTGTCCTTTTCAGCAAAGTTCAGTAACTGACAATGAATTAGAATAGCTACATGACCAATGTTGCTTCTGTCTCTGCACTCAGAAAAAAAAAAATCTTTTACAATTCATGGAATATAGCTCAGCAGCACAGTATCTGCCTGAAAATGTAGAATTTTGAGTTTGAACCCCAGTTTTTAAAAAATTGCATGTACAAGTGAATTTCCTAAGTCTAAGAGATCAGTTTGGGTGCTTAATAGCCAGTAACTTTGCAAGTTGTCCTTTACAGCATTATTTCACCTTCCACTATTTAAATTCCTATCATAAAATCCAACTATTATCATTATAAGGTATAGAACTAAGGTATTCAACAATTTATTCATTTATCACATGACTCTAGATATAAGACAGTAGTTTACACATGCCTGGCAAGGTCCTAACAGTTATTTTAATCATAACCAATGCTAAAATGTATATTAAAATTTACCTATGTTAACTTTTTTAATAAATCCTAATGAGGTTTTTACACATCCTAAAATGACTTTGGAATTGTGAGAGTGTGCTCATTTATTTTGCAATTCACCTTCATGACAATGAAGCTCAATATTGAGGACATAATTGTCTGTTTAACAACACATATATAAACTGTCATTTAACTAGCACAGTTAGATGTCTCCAGCATTATGACTTTTATAAAATATCCAACTATGTCACCGAACTTTACCCTACATCTCAGGGGAATCCAGACTTATCAAAATTAATCCTAGCAGGAGGTTTAGGGTTAGGGTTAGTGTTAGGGTTAGGAGGGCACAATGAGAGCAGCATGGGGCCCCACCCTCAACCCTTTCCCTGTGAATAGACAAGGATTTAGCGTGGTAAATTTTCAATAATAGCCCTTTCCTTCTCAAGGGTTGAAAATTAATCACTTGTGGCTTATTATATTTTCGCAAGTAATGTACACAGCTTGACACCTCTGATGCTTAGACTTCTAGTGTCACATTTTGTGAGTGTGAAGGCACCTGGGTTATCAGGAAAGACATCTGCATGTGGATTCATGTGACCAGGAAGCATGACTTATGAGATTGCATTTAGTACATGGCCCTTGCCTCTCTCTCTCTCAGTGCTCAAGTATCTCCCCTGGAAGGTTGAAGATTTTAATCTGATAGCATGAGCAAACCTGAGGCAAATAACCTAAGGCAATGGCAGACAACTGTGCTCATGTACAGGAAGTGAGGAGATTACTTTCTCCCTTATTATCCAACCCAGGTTACATGGTTGTTGCCAAGCACATACAAAGTGAGTCATTTGAGATGTGCTATAATCAAGTTAGTTATCCACTAAGAAGTGCAGGGCTTTAAAAACAAGTTGGAAGATTCATACTCATCATGAAAAACACCACAGGTAATCATCACAAAACACTAACCTTTGTTTTGGTAAGAATTCCAGTCACAGATATTCTTCATAGGTAGTAATTGTCTTCTGATTCTCTCAAAACTTTTTAGGAGAAAATAAAAATATTTTACAAAAAAAAAATTCCATAGAAATCAAGTTACTTCCTCAGAAAGAAAAGATTGGCAAAATCATCTGTACATGGAATGAAATCTTTCCAGTATTCTGTAGCTTGTCATATTTAAGAGTACTAGATCATATTCATGGAACTAAAGGAATAATTTGTATCTTGAAAAATCAAATATGCCCAAATCTTATTTTTAAATGGAAAATTAGTCACAAAATATCTATTGGGAAATTTTTTCTTTTCCAGTGCATTTTCTCCTTCCCCATTCCACTTGAGTATAGCCCCAGGTGCTCTATCTAGTGATTTTCATGGTCTTTTCAACTTTTAGAACTATTTCTGTATGCTCACACAGCTGTGCATGTAGTCAGTACTCTAATGAGTCCTAGGTGCCTTAGAATCTTCTCTCTTTAGAAAGGTGAAAGTGCCAAGAGTTCAAATCCTTCTGAAGCTGCATGACACCACTCAATTGAAATTATAAACCTGAAACTCTATTATAGAGATGACATTAAAAGATATATTACAGAAATACTTGTTATGTCTCATCCTAACCCTAATGGCTAACCACTCACCTTGGTTTCTACCAATTTAAAATTTCCATTTTATCTTCTTGGCTGGAGGATACATGTCAAGCAGTTTGACCAGATTGGGCCACATCAGTAAAAATAAGAAAAAAAAAATCCAGGGAAACAAAGACACAAAATGCCCACAGTACTGTTCACATTTCCAAACAGGATTGCACTGCTCTCCTGATAGAGCTGCTCAGGAGAAATAGGTGAATACAGCTCTCAAAACTGGAAACAACTGGGTAAGGCCCATGTTCTATATGGGATAACATGAAGGAATGACACAAAAGTGCTATTTGAGTTTCAAAATTAAAATGACTTGATCTACCAATGAGTAAATGACAACAAAATGCATTGAATATGTAAAAATAGAAACCTGCTATTGTAAACCTCATGCTAAGTATTAGATTTTTTTCAGCCTGCTGAATACAAATGCCTTGAACTTTTTTTCCGATCTAACAGAAAGACAAATTTATAGTACGACACTAAACATCACATGTACCTCACTGAATGCAGGACACTCTAAATCACTAGTTGTTCATCCATGGTGTCCTTCTCCTGAGACCAAAGACTCATTTCTGGATTACTGACATGAGCATATAAACTTTGCATTGTGCCATGAATCACTAAAAGAAACTTTGTGTCAACTTACAAATTCAATATAAGTTTAAACTGCAAGCATTTTCTCCTCATTATCTAAGTTAAGGCACTTTAGTTAAGGTAATTTGGGGTGGACATAAACCCTAAATGTGCATCTCTTATTGAAAAAGCTCTTGCTCAGTTATCCAGGGTAGCCTTGGTTTTGGGGTTATTTTGTGCACCTCTATGGCTCAGTGCTGTTTACTTTGCCCCAACACTATCTGTCAGACAGACCCTTTCTTTCTCTCTCCCTCCACATGTCTATGCCCTTCCATTTCCTTTTAATCACTTGGCTTTTCTCATTCAAAAAGTACTTTCATTCCTATTCTTTAATACTCATGCAGAGCCTGAATATTTGAATACACCCCTACTTCAGGAAAAAGTTCACCTTAGAGTTGCAAATTCTTTACTGTCTTTTTGCGACAGGGTTTCACAATGCAGTACAGCATGTCCTTGAGCTCACTTCATAGCCAAGGTTTGCCTTTAATAAACTTGCAAGAACCCTTCTGTATCTGATTCCTGAGTGCCAGGGTTAAGGGGATATGCCACCACGCCATGCTCAGTGTTTCAAATTTCAGGTTAAAGTGTAAGCACAGCCCTAAATCTATAGCCATTCTTTCACAGGAGACACATTTCCCTTGCTATTCTCACATTAATCACATCTCTATATCCCTGTTATCACCAGTTGACTGTTTTTTCAGTGTGGGATTAACAGCATGTCCTACAGGAAGTTGTTCTCTGCAGGAACTTTCCCCTCAGGGTCTAGTGCATCGCCATCCCCCAAATACTCCACAGCATTCTGAACTCTATGAAATGGCTTGCTTCAGCAGTTCAATTGTAAAAAAAAACAGTTGTTTATTTACTTGGCTTTTAAATTAGACACTAGCAAAGGTAAGGGCCTCTTTTAAAGTTGCAAAATTAGTGGCTTTGATAAGAATTACAATGAGAATAGCCAATGACCTTGGACTTTGAATAAGCAATGAATTTTCTCCCCCACAATAAAATGCAGATTTCCCTCTGCTATGGTGACTTGCAGTTGCTAATTACTACACTCCTGAGATAACAGAAATGTAAATACAAACAGCCAGTTTATCTCTAAACCCTCTTTCCTGTAGACCCCACAGTCTGAAGAAATGGGATAGAGAAACCGGGCTCAACGTTCTTTTTTCTGGGTGCACTTACTCAGGACTATAATCTCCTCCCACTGGAGGCTGATAGAGGAGCATGGCCAAGAGTTCAAGGCCAGGTCAGACTACACAGAAATGCTCTGTATCCAAACATAAAAAATAAAAATAAATGAGAAAAGGAAAGATAGATAGATAGAAGATACATAGGTGAAAATCTATTTCAAATCCACAGAACCACGTGTAGCTTCTGGCCAGCTGACTATCCATGTAGGAAGCATTCTGAATTTTAAGGATCTCTAATTTCTTATTTTGGATCAATAACTCTACACTCAGTGTGGTGAGATTGCTAGTTCTGTTTATGTGGTAACATCATTGTGAGTAGCAGTCTCACAGAAGGAATTCAGATGATAATTTTTTCTCACTCTGAGGACAGAACTCAGATTTGCCCCAAACCATTACATGCCTCAAACACAGCTTTACGCAGGGCTGCTCAAAAAGACCTCCTGGACTTACAGTGGTTCTGCCTATTCCCTTCCAAAACTCACACAATTGTGTCCCATTCCCAGCGCCAGTACCATCGTTACCATTGTGATGCTTGAGGGTGTCCGAGGATCCTTTGCAGAGCTCAGTAAAAATTCACTGAAACTCGATATGCAGCCAGTTCTGGGCTCTCAGCATCAAACTCACAGTAAGCCTTTCCGCGCCAGGACAGGGAAGAGCCCTCCTACCTTGGCCCACCTGATTGGGTATTAACTCACCCCCAACATTATTAATGATTGGCTCCTGGGCCCATCTCTCTACTGTGATGTCATCTGCAAAGCAGGATTCATACTTCCATTTAAGGATTTTACTCCTGGCTTTTCAGAGCTGCCCTGGGTTACCTTAAGGTCTCAGTGCAATTTCCTGAATTTGAGTCCTAAAAGTTCCCAGGTGAATGTCCTCTGGAAGAACCAGTCCGTTGAAGACAGAAAAGATAATTTGGCCAGGTCAGATCAGGACAGATTGGAATGGGCAGGGACTGCTGTCCAGAATGAGACCATAAGTCAGGCATGGTGGCTCATGCCTGTAATCCCAGTACTTGGGAGGCTGAGGCAAGAGAGTTGTTGTGAGTTCGAGACCAGCCTGAGCTACAAAGTGAGCTCAAGGCCAGCCTGAACTGCATGGCACGAGACCCTGTCTCCAAAAAGACAGAAAAAGAAATGAGACCATAACCTTTGTTGCCCTGATTTTTACAAGGTCTCTCACTGCTAATTTGCATTGACTAAATTAATATGTGTCGCAAATAGAATTCCATTACAGCTTTAATGAAGAAACTAGACATATACAGTAACAAGCTTCTGAGAAAAAGTAAAGATGAAGGAAAATCGATAGTCCAACTGTTTCAGAAAAACTTTGTACTGTACCCAGTGTGATAAATCATACCTACATTTTAAAGATAAACCTAGTCAACCATGAGTTTCTCAGTGATTGCTGAAACAGAGTCTTGCACTTGATCCACTAGATCATTTCCTGTCAATCAAATGTGGGATAAAAAAAACACTTTAGACTGCGAGTGAAAACATTTTTGGCATATGTGAATACACTCCACTCTAAGGTCATTGTATTAGTGCATTATCCTGTTGCTTATTGTTGACTTCACTTCATATCAAAGGTTGCTTTTAACCAACCCATAAGTTTTAGATATAAATCACTGACAGCATGAAAGAAAATCTAATGAAGCTGATGTGGAATTTGCAGGCAGGCAATGGCTCCTCAGCTGGGACCTCAGGGCCTGACACATGTTCCAGGGAAATGACATTTTTGTCTCTTTAATCAATGCAGCCAGGAACAAAGGCAATCAGTTATCTGGCCACTACCTTCTCACAGGTAGCTGTCTGACCCTCATTTATTTTCTTTCTTCCAAGTGAAGGGTTTTCATTTTCTATTCAGTCTTACTATCTCTAAGCCCTTATTTTTATGACTGTTACATTCATTTCCTGTGGTGCAGTGACAGCAGAACACCCCAACCTGTGACTAGGTCAGGTAGAAAATCATTTTTCTTCTTTTTACAGATTCCCCTTATTGAGAAGTCAAAACTTTTTTTTTCTTTTCTTTTTTAATTTCTAGTAAAATAAGAAAAACATCCCTTGAAGTTCCTGATTTTGTCCACAGCTATATTCCTGTTCCTTGTGAGTCCCTGAGCTCAGTTTCTACCAAATTAACAGGTTCAATAAATTTCTCTCTATTGATTACAGGTTGGCTGTTTTGTAATAGTATTGCTCGCTACCTAATAAAAGTGCCTCTTGCATAGAGATTATCTTATAGATGTGCTGATAGAGCTTATAATTACCAATCATGTGTCTAACAAGATTTAATGTGATGGGTATATCTGATGTCAAGTGCATAATTTTCTATTTCTAAGCATCAAGCTTCTGACTTATCTGAGCCAGTGATTCACTTCTTTGAAAAGATTGATAACTTGGCAATTGCAGGTTCCATATGAAATTCCTGCAGAATCATTGGCACACTGTCTTTGTGACCACCTCCACAGTGCACAGGCACTTTATTGTTTAATATTAAATAAGTTCTGTTATTAATGCATTTTGGATTCCTGAGAGTTTTTGTACTTCAAGAAGAGATGGTAACTGAAATTTTGCCATTCTGTGTTTGTGTTCCTGAACTTTCTATCATAGTGATAAAGTATATGAAAAATTCAGACACTGGAAATGGAACTTTTACTGGGGGTGTATTTTAGCCCATTCCTTCTGAAAATCAGACCATGGTGGGAAAATGAGACAGTGCATTGGAGCCCACCTCATACTGGTCAAGATGTACAATAAGACAAGAAGCAGCTACCTCAAAGGAGGAAGTGTCCAAGGTCATTGTGTGTGTGTGTGTGTGTGTGTGTGTGTCTGTGTTCCTGTCTCTGTGTGTGTGTGTCTGTGCATATTTCTGTGTGTTTCTGTGAACACACAAGGATTCATCAATCCCACCAGCAATCCCCCCCAATCTTTCTCTGCACAACTTCTGACCTGTGTCAAAATGCCGCTCAGTCCCTCAGTGCCCTAAAGCTCAATTTTTGTCTCTACATGGTAATTCTATCTCAGTGCACATGGATCTCACTCCCTGTGTCTCTCACACAGTGATGCACAGCAGAGTCCTAAGGGTTACAGAGGGCAGCTGCTACAGAACAGGCTGGGACCAGTGGGACTGGTCTTTGGACTTAAAAGCAGTGTATTGGATTAAAGCCTGTAATAAACACAACCTTCAGATGCTTGCTTGGTTTCCCAGGGTCCTGAGTTCCAATATCTAGATTTTACTTTTTAAATTATAGTATATGCCACTGATACATGCAGAATCACCTCAGAAAGGAGACTGTTATAAAATAAACTAAATGTGTAAGGTCAGATTTATGGAAATCAGTTTAGAAAGGAAATTCTGAATATATGAAATTGCAGTATTTGTTCTTACATATTCTCCATTATTTAACTGATTTAAATGAGAGGGGTAGAGAGAGTGAGAGAAAAAGAGAGGTGGGGATACAGAGAGGGGAGAGATTGTTTACAGTTTAGCATGCTTTAATTTATGAATTCCTAACTTGTAAAGTCCAAAAAGAAATTGCAGGCTGAAGTCCTGCTAGTTCTGTTGGACAGAAAGTGTTCACTGTCTCATTGGCTTTGTCTTGAGTTCATCGAGCTGCCCTCCTCTCTCTCCTCTCTGAGCAAAGGACTCCTAATGGGGCTGGGGCTGAGCTTAGGAATCAGGTATTCTTACACTACATTGCATTACATTACATTTTACCATCCAAGATGAGGATTGGGCCATTTATTTTTGAGATTTATAAACATGGACATCATAGATTTAATTTTCTCCTCTGAAGCTTTTATTTTAGCATTTGAGAACATTTCATCACAAGAATAAAACTAGCAATTTTTTTTTTTTGCATGATGTTCAATCGACTTTTTTTGTCTTTTGGAAACATGGTTCCACTATGCAGTTCAGGGTGGCTTTGGGCTCACTTTGTAACCTAGGATGGTCTCACATTTATAATTCATCCTCCAGCCTCACCCTCCCAACTTATAGGATTACAGTAATGAGCTGCCAGGCCCTGTTAATTTGACATTTTAAAAAAAGTTCATTGCAGAAGATTTTTAAGTTTTTTTGAGATGGCAATGGATAACCATTTAGTGAAATTCCTAAAAAAAGATGAATAAAGTAAGTACATATATATGTACTTATGCAATTAATTTTGATGAAGAATGTTTACTTCACCTAGGATAGGTAAACTATCAAATGAAGGCTATGTATTTCAGGGTTTCCTCAGGTCACAGGATGTTAAAATAGAAAAAAAAATCCTAGAGGCCAAATGAAAGCCCTCACATGCCACTTCCTTTCCTGCACCTGCTCCTGGAGCCATTTTTCCCCCACAGAATGTGCACCCCCTACTGGTTCCAAGTCGGGAGAGTTTTGTAGGAGCTCTCAATGATGTCTCCTCACTGTGTGCCACTGCAGGATGATAGAGTCATGTTCCCATGTCTTAGGCTTCTCATTTGCAGGTACAGCGTGTTCTTGCCATTCTCTTGGGAGATGGTGAATCGGCCCTTCATGGAGTCTGCGTACTACTATCATGATTGATGTATGCGATTCACTCTAGCCCCTTTCCTGGAGTCTGGAGGAAACAGTGCAAGCCATAGCTCATGAACAGGAATCTAGAAGCTGCTCAGGAGAGTTCCTGGAAACACGCAGGCTGCACCAAGCCTCCGCGGACTCCAATAGCTGCTTCTCAGCCTAGACATCTGAAAACACAAGGACATCTTAGACAGGAAACTCACACATGACCACAATCATGTCCACTTACCCTTCCCTTATTGCTTGTTGTCCATAATTTACCTTTCATAAGTGCAAACAAGAAAACACAAGTCAGACCCAAATCCATAGAGATTGTCTGTGCTCAGCCCTCATCTCTGAGTGGGAACCTCTGGGTATCCAGGGCTGGGTTCCTCAGCAGATCTGCAGGGTGAGGGCTGGGCTGATTTTCATGAGCACAGGGAGGCCCTATTTGCCTTTCTTCTTGCTATATAAACAGAGTTGTGATTAGACCCTCAGACCAGGCATTGTCCACAGCAGTTGTGAGTGTCCTGAGTAAATCTGGTAACATAGATGCGTTAAAGAGAGTCTGATAGCTCATGTAAGAGTGCTCTGTTGTCTTTTTAACTTCATTTGCTTTCATTTTTGTCCATATACTCAGATCATACTTTTTATATTAATGATGCTTGCTTTATGAACCTGTCAAATGTTGAGTGTCATGAGCAGTTGTGTTCTCCACAAAGAATCTGATGCTGTATGAATGTCATTCCCACTGTCTAGGTCTTTGCTCTCCTGGTCAGCGAGCAGATTGATTCCTGCTCCAGCTCCTGGACATTCCTGTTGCAGTTGGCAGACCTCTCTCCCCGTGGTGGGAATGGGTGTGCCTGTGCTGTGTTCTGGTCTTTTTTGAAAGACAATAGCATTAGCATTCATGTGGCTCCTCTTAATGAGTTTGTCAAAGTTACTTGTGATTACCTTCCTCTGTCTCAAATTTTTCTACCTCCTTTTTAAAAATTTTTGGTTGTTATTCTTTTTTATCAATAGTGTTTACATTATATAATGGATGCATTTGTTGTAGGTCCTTACACATGTGCCTAAATCCCTTTAATTCTTGTTTCACTACATTTCCTCTAACATCTCTCCTTTTCTTAGTTCCCTTTAGTTTTTCAAAATATCTTTGTTTTTACCTCTTGTTTTTGCCATTTAACATATTTATATTCTTACTTTCTTACATAAAACAAACTATGAAATATTTAAGATTTTCTGATTTATTTCACATATTTAGTGCAACAATTTTTCCCAGCTATTTCTTTGGCAGTCAAAGACTATCAAGAACATAGTGCCTGGAGAACTCAAAAAATTGATCACCCTAGAAAGAGATAGTTTTATGGTAAATACTGCTTTCTTTTGTAAACAGGTTGTTTTTTTTTTCTTTTTTCGAGATCAATTTTAACTTGTCCTCATGAAAACATTTATGGGAGTAAGTAGACAAATTTCTGGAGAAGAAAATAATTACACATCATTTTGAGCAGAGATAGGTTCGTCAAATTTTATCTTCTTAGCTCATTTTGGATGGTGTTCACCTTCCTTGCAGTGGAATTCCCTTAAGGCATGATTTGAGGATATAAAAATAAATAGAATTTAACACAAATGCCTGATATTTTTCCTTTTTAAACATGAATACAAGATCAAAATACCTTGATGTTTTTGAATATATGCTTAAGCACTGCAAAGTGTTTTACTTTTTAATGTTGAAAAAGTGACTTTTGAGGGCCAGTGTTTTAGCCTGATAGCACAAGAGCTTACCTGGAAAGCACAACGCCATGAAGTAACAAAAATAGTGCCATTTGATATTTCTGGAACCTTCCCAGGAAAAACATGTATTCTAGAACCAAAATGGAATGCACAGAGAATTATTAATCATGGTTCTCTACCATTTCAAGGACCATAATGAAGAAAAGTTGACAAAAGGTCTCAATACACTTATGTTCCAACTTTCTTCAGAAAAGAAGTGATTTTTGTTTGCACTCCAACTATAATTATGTCATAAGAAACTATCTAAGTTCAGGAGTCTCTTTTTCTCACTAATCTAAAGAAGATTAAACTTAATCCAAGAAAGTTTTCAGATGAAACTAAGTGCATTAAAGTATATAGATGACTTGCTCAGTCCGATGAGATAGAGTGGAAAGATTTAATAAAACTCTTAAATCAAACATTGACTTGCAATGAGAAACAGATGGAAATACAGGTTGCTATTATATCTGGGATGAATATTGGATTGTTTAGTTGAGAAGACCAGAACATGGACAGCCAGGGAAATACACAGTTCCAACTTGAGCCAAAACAGTACCTGTCCAAGACACTTGTTTGCCTAGTAGCAGAACGGGACATCAAAATAAGAGATGTTATCATGTATACCTGCTTTAACATCTAAAATCACAAAAATCAAGTGCTTCAACTATTTTAAGTTATGTTATTCAATAATAATGTTACATTAAATAAATAATAAAAACACTTCTTAATTTTTAGATTTTTTACAGGAGGCACTGGAAAAATTTATGGTAATAGCTCCACACAAGAAAAGAACATACATGGGAATAAATCTAACAAAGTAAAAGACCTCTTCTTGAAAAGTATTGCTTTCTAAAAGATTGATTGAAGTGGATAGCAGAAAATGTGTTGATATACCTTATTCTTGTGGAAGAATGAATTCTGTAAAAATGTCCATACTTTCAGAGTTATTATACAGATTTAATGCAATCCATAGCAAAATTACAGTAGCATATGTCACAGATTTAGAGAAAACTATTTTAAAAATTTATTTGGAAGCAGAAGAGACCTAGAATACCAGAAACATTTCTTGGAACAAATGCAGGACAAGGAACATCACAATCTCTGCCTTGAAATTGGGCTGCAAAGCTACTGTGATTTAAAAATACAACTTGCTACTGGAGAAGAAGATGAGAATGACCTGAGAACCAGTGGAACAAATTGAAATATTCAGAAATACCTACAAGCATACTCAGCCAATTCAATCTTTGAAAATGGAACCAAACACATTAACTAGAAGAAGTAAACCTACATAAATGGAGTTGGAAAATCTGGCTTCCACATACCAAAGGGTAAACTAGACCCATGATTTCACCATGCACTGAACTATAAGTGAAGTTGATCAAAGGTATAAATAGTAAAATAAAAAATGTGGGGGAAGATAGGATAAGAAGTCTTGATGACATTGGTTGAGGCCAACTTTATGAACAAAACTTCAGTTGCACAGAAAACATAACAAAGAATCAACAGCTGTGACATTTTACTACAAAGGTTTTACACTGGAAGAGAAGCCGGTCCTAGGATGAAGAGACAACACATAGTGAGGGAACTACTTTTTGCCAGTATTTTATCATAAAAGTACTAATATGTAGGACACATAAAGAAATGAAATAGAAATGAGATCTCCTAAATTTAAAGATGAATAAATGGGTATCTAAAATGAATAGACATTTGTCAAATGAAAGTTGGAAATGTTAGATTGTTTCTTGCCAAAATTCAACTGTTTGAATTCACCTTTGTAAATACAATGTTTGAAGGGTTGATACCAACAGATTCCTCCATACATTTCCATTGCATCTTCAGGTCTAATGTTCTTTGAACTTCTGTCATACTCAGTAGGTCACAGCCCAGTCTTTATTTTCAACCTATGACAATCTGATCTCAGGGAGTCCTTCCTTGGTCCAGGCGTTGATATCGCTGTGCTCCATCATCCCCTGTGTCCCACAATATTAGGTTTTTCTTTCATGCTAATTTCTTTCCTATGATTGAGATGGTGGTAAAGTACACATTCAGTGTATCCCCAAGTTTCTGTATTATTTCCATGAAACATGTTCTACCTCAGTCAGGATACATGTTTGTGAAACAAGGTTTAAGAGCACTCCATGCCACAAATTATGTAAAAGATGGAAACAGCCTTCAAACCAGTCACATGTATCATGTATTGTGTATGTCCATGTGGATATGATCTGGAAAATGGAAATTTAATTCTTACCTTATAAATGCTTGGTTCACTCTTCACTCCGTGAACTGGACTCTTTGCTGCCAAAACATTCAGTTAATGCAGGGCAATCAGGACTGACTTTTGAGACAAAAAACTGACTGGGGATGAAGGAAAAAATATGTTTCTATGTAGAAACTGCAGATGAACCTATAGACTCCACATGCACAAATGAAGTCACCATATAGTGTCAAGACACAGAGCTAAAGGAGACTTTGTGGAATGTGTTCCACTTTGCATGTTGCTGAATTTGAATCAGGAACAGGACAGGGCACAGGGGTCTCCATTGCCAGTCAAGCCTCATGCCACAGGCCTGAAGGGATCAGGTTGAAGGCAGTACAGAAGTCATGTCACAGACTTCACAAGTTTCATGGGAAGACTCCAACTTCAACAGATAACATCTAGTCCATTTTTATCCAGCTCAGAGCCCCTGGCACCAAACTTAACTTCCTAGCCTTTAGGATGTTTCCTTGTGCATAGATTCCTGCTGTCTGCAGAAGTCACCCAGCAACCAGGCCCCAAATTCTAGGGGCCTTCATCAGCAGGGGACCCTCAGTCCAAAATATGGCAGCAAAAATATAAAAGAGGACCCCATATAATTAAATGTCCTGATCTCCCTATGCCTCTTTCCAGATTACAAAGCAAAAGCCTTCCTGCATCACCCAATAGCTGGTAATGAAAAACCAAATATTTGAGACTGAAGGGAAAAGGAAAGTGATCTAAAATCTGAACTGATGAACAAGTTGATACATGCCATTTTTGTTTTACATATGGGCTGCTGAAATTCTCAAGGGCATTACTGCACTTAAAATGAGGTTGCTCTTGTCTTTAGAGAACAAAGATTGATTACCTGTAATTTTGCAAATTTACTCCTATGTCCATTAGTAGAGTGGAAATGTACTGCTGTGATTTGAGGCTATGTACTCTGGACATGATTCCTAAACTCCGAGGAGGGATGAGTGAGAACAGGCCAGGTCTTCTCAGAGTTTGAGATGAGGCCAATGGTTTTACTGCATTATCAGGAAACAAGGTCTGATTGAAGTTTTCAGGACTGAGATTGGAATTCAGCATATTTATACTGAGCTATCTCCACAGTGCCATTTTGTATTTGCAGACAGGTTTTCTCTGTGTTTCCAAGTTGCCAAGCCTGGGCTTAAATTGAAAAGTTGAAATCATCTTGCCTCAGGTTCCTGGACTGCTTAAATCACATGAAATCACAACCTTGCCTATGTCTGAACCATTTTATTTTAAAAAATGATAAAACAGTAAGATAAGGGAGTAAAATTAGGAATTACATTGTAGAATTTACCAGCAGTATTCTACCTCGGAATCAAGTGTGTAGAAATAACTGCCTCAATGTATTTTTCCTATATTAGAGAGTAATATTTTACACACAGTGAAACTTATACACATTACATTTAATATATATTTATGATTTTGGAATACACTTAACTGTTTATGAATGTGTTTACTAACAGTGCTACTAATTACAGACATTTGAATAATAACCATGGTAAAATCAGGGTCTTGTGAACTTCTTGTCTCTCTTCATTTCTCATCATTCCTTGCACTTAACCTTCTTGTCAGGTTGTCACATCATATGATAGCCCTCTGATGAAGGAAACTGAGATCCATGATGAATCCAAGTGACATTAAATTCATGAATGCTACAGAGAATGGAACATGATTATGACTTGGTCAACATTTATTTCTGAATTATATTTTAATATCATAAAATGCTGCCAAAATGCCACTGTGGAACATGTGCCTAAATGGAGACTATGAGAGTTAACAGTGCCATGCACCAAAAACTGGACATAGAGGGGCAAAAGTGGTGTATGAAATTCCTTGCCTGAAATTTTTTTGCTAGGTAAACTTAATGCTAAAACCTGGGCATGGGTGTGTATGCCTGTAATCCCAGGGCTCAGAAGGCTAAGGCAGAAGTATTGCTGCAAGTTCAATTCAGCTTGGACTACAAATTGATCCCAAGGCCAGCCTGAACTACAAAGTGAGCCCAAGACCAGCCTGGACTAAAGTGAGCCCAAGGCCCACCTGAACTTCATAGCAAGACCATTTCAGACAAAAAAAAATCTAATGTTACAATGTGAGAATCACCTTATTCATTGTGCACTGCTGACTCTGTTTTTCTGGTGTCACAAAGTGACATCATTTCCATCATTCATTATTTCTATTCTGGCAATCGTATTCCGGAATTATCCTTGAACCTTAGGAATTGTATGACATCCCAATTCACTTGCATATTCAGGATTCTGCTGTTTACAAATGACTGACTTAATATAAGAGGAATGGTATTTACATTTGTATAAAAGTACACAATGTAGGGGCTGGAGATTTAGCAAAGTGGCAGAAGTGTCTGCCTTGCAAGCTTGCAGTTGTCAGTTCAATTTTTGGTACCAAAGGGGAAAAAAAAGGTACATGATGTGTGATAGGCAGTAGGATTATACATCTTTCAGGAATGGAAAGAAGCAAGAAATAGAGGAAAAATATAAATAGAAGATGTTAAGGCAATAATAAAGAACTCAGACCCATTATACACATAGATGCCTTCCAAAGATGAACACTTGCATTATGTGCTAGAAACAGGAGCTAATGCAATTATACATATTTTAAATTTGCTCTTGTAATTATCTTATCATAAGCACACTACATAGATGCATGTCATAAAAACTGGTGAAGGACACTTCTGAATGATCGTTCTAGAAAAAATAAAGACAGATCCAAGTGGAAAAGAATGCTTTTGTGGAAAACAGGTGTCATCTATGAAGACAGTATCAATGAATCTAAAATGTGGGGAAATATTTCAGAATCCTTGAATTATCTTTAAAAAGTGTGATGTTTTAAAAAAGTAACACTACAGACAAATAGATCAGCTTCTTATGTGTGACACTGAAACACAAAATGAATATGATTTGGGATATCTCCATTTTCAAGTGTGATCTCTGGAATATCTATGAATATGTATTGAAATCAATTTTCTATGGTATTTCTACAGGTTTCAACATGAATAATTTACAAAGTATTTTCAAAATAGTCACTTACATAAGTGCAATTTTGCTGCATAGTCCTGGTTTTCACACACTTTACCATACCCACGTTTACTAAGGACTTGCTCACCTCACATACATAGGCTGTGGCCACAATAGGACTTCCTTTTAGAGGTTGGCATCTATCAACAGATTTTTTGTTTTTTTTGTTTTTTTGGTACTGGGGATTGAACTCAGGTCCTCTCATTTGCCAGGCAGGTGTTTATGCTGTTGAGCTAAATCCCTGGCTATCAGTGGAATTTTTTAATACATGTTTTTCACAGTTACTCCACAATATGTAGGAAATTTAGTATTTATAAAATGAAAAATCTTCAAGAAATCCTTCTTGCACTGACTGTATGAATGGGCTTTTTCAACTGTGTGTATTGTTTCCTTAATTGTTGACATTATTTTGCATTGAATGCTTTTCTTCATTTTTGGAATGCATGGAGTTGCTTCCCTGTGTGAATTTTTTCATGTCATTACAATCACTGGAGCTGGGAACATTTGCTGCATTGCTTACATGCACACATTCTCCCCATTGTCTGTTCTTTCTTGTTTTTGTCAGTGACTGTGTGAACTTAATGCTTTCCTAAATTGCTTACCTATATAGTTTTCCCACTGTGAATTCTTTGATGCGTTTGCAAGCTATGGCTTTGGCTGGTAGATTTCCCACATTGCTCACATACAGAAGATTTCTCCTTGTGTGGGATCTTCTATGTCTAGAAAATTTGGATGATCAGCAGAACCTTTCACAAATGTCTTCCATAAGGTTTCTCCTAACTGTGAACAATTTTATGGACAAGGTAACAATACTGACCGGAAGGTTTTCCACAATGTTCACCAACATTGAGTTTCTCCTTAGTATGAGTTCTGACGGTATTTTATAACATGTTTATGTACTGAATGTTTTTCTAAATTTCTTGAGTACAAAATATTTTTCCCTAATTTAAACTCATTCTTGTTTCTGTCAGTGACTGGTTCTGCTTTTGCCTTTGTGATGGTATATCTTACCATAAGCATGAATACATAGATACAGGCTATAAATATAAGCACACTTCTGAATACACACATATAGATCCTTCTTGATAAACTGATACAGGAGTTATAGACCATGGTGGGAAAAATGGTCATGAGATAAGTCAGTGTTATCCATCTAGACAAGACATTGATTTATCAAAAACATGGTAAAAAAAGATTCAACGTATTTAAATTTTCATTAAAATTGTGATTTTTCATTAAGACTAAAGAAATGTGATTTATTAAAGATATTTAAGTGTGATTTATAAAACAAGAAATAAGAACATTTTAGGACAATGCTATGTTTGAGGGTGTTTTCAAAAAAATCTATGCATATATACTGACAGCAATAATTTTATATTATTTTAACAGGTCTCCTCTACATGAGCAATTTTCAAATATTATCAAAATAGTATGTATGATTTACATATGTATGATTTCACTTAACTATTATTATTTTCACACATATGACAATAACCATGAATACTGAATTCTTTCCACATTGAATGTATAGACCTTGGACACAATATGATATCATTTAGAAGGTTAGCTCCTCTGGCAGCTGAACTTTTACCAAATATTTATCACATGTAGTTACTCCCTGTGTGAGGGGAATCTTATGTTTGCAAAAGGAAACACAGTTGCCAATCTTTTCTACACTGCCTAAATACATATGGGTTTTACCTTGTGGGCCTACTTCCTCTATTCGATGAAATTTTTGTGCACTGAAGGCTTTCCACCACTGTTCAAATGTATAGAATTACCACACAGAGGAAGTTCTTTTATGTAGTGACAATAGCTCTGGTTTTCCTATATTACTTCCATTCATAGGATTTCTTCCCAGAAGGATCTTTTATGTTAATCCATTTATTCATTCATCATATAGATACTGTTTTTGTACAGAGTGAATTCTTTTATATATACAAAAGCTACTACTAAGGCTGAAAGACATCCAAAAATGCTTATGTAAATAAAAAGGTTTGTTTTCAGCACCTCGGCATACTGAATTCTTTGCCACATTGTTTGTATCCATTGTGGTTCTACCCAGTCTGAGTTCTTTCATGAGTAAGGGTACCATTTTGACAGAAAGATAAGCCACACTGCTTACATACATATGGCTTCTCCACAGTGTGAATTCTATCATGAGCTTTAAAACAATAAGTTGTACTGAATGCTTTGCCTCATTTGTTGCAGAAATAGGGTTTCTCCTCTGTGTGAGCTTTTTCATGTATAAGGTTACCGTTTTGACTGAAATATTTCACACACTCCTCACATACATGGGGTTTCTACCCAGTGTGAATTCTTCCATGTACAAGAAAGTTACAATTTTGACTGAAAGATTTCCCACATTGTTTGCATATCATGGTTTTCTCCACACTGTGAAATCTTTTATGTCTACTTAAGAATCTTCTGTGTCTAAAAGATTTTCCACACTGCTTACATACATATGGCTTCTTCTCAGAGTGAATACTATTATGTACAAATCAGAGGCTCTACTAAATGTTTTCCCACATTTGTTGCATACATAGGGTTTCTCCCCAGTGTGAATTCTTTCATGTACAATAAGATTACCATTTTGACTGAAAGATTTCCCACATTGCTTACATACAAATGGTTTCTCCCCAGTATGAGATCTATCATGTGCTTTACAAGCAGAGGCTGTACTGAATGCTTTCCCACACTTGGTGCATATATTTTGTAACATTTTTTCAATATAGTATGAAGGCATAGAATTATTCTCTTAGTATTTTTGTACATATGAGCTCCCTGAACTGTGATTTCTCCCATGGTTTTGAACACTGTTAGGTTTTGTGTAGGTTTTGACACTTTTCTTACCTGAAAAAATTTTCTTCTCAGGGTGAGTTTATTCCCTAAGATCAGAGCTGTCCTCCCCACATTGCCCATATTGACAGAGTCTCTCTCCGGTCTTTCTCATTTCATGCTTCTGAAAGGACTGGAAATCACTGCAGGTCTCTACATCTTCATTACATTTATATTGCTGCTCTTCAATTCTCAAATAATTGTCTTCATCACATCTGTAAAGAAATACGAAGAAAGATATCAATCACAATGAAAGAAGCTCTACATTAACAATTCAGATTTATGATGACAAGTTTCTTTTGACGCCTGCTAAGTAATTCTGCTGGTTAACTGACTCACTGCCCTGCAGGACTTCTTACAAAGTAATATTCATTCTAAAGAGGATGGTTTTCATTTTGAAATTTTCATTTATTGTATGATTCCACTACATAATATTATTTTAGGAGATTGGTAGAAATGACTATCAGATATTGATCACTTTTTAGCTCTTTGGGTCTTCATTCTCCCCCTTGTCTATTTAGCAGATCATCTTTCTCATCTATAGAATGTACAGATGTCTGGTCTTGTGTTATCTCTATTTCCTTTTTCTCATCAAATATGCTTTAAGAGAAAATCTGTGATATTTTCATTTCTTTGTCAGACTTATTTCACTTAAAGTCCAACTCCTTTTGTTTCTTGAAAAATGACATCATCTTCCTTGTATAATATATTTTTTTTCAGTGTAGAGAGTTAAACACAGGTCTTCTAGGGAATTACATTTGCTGATCGAATATTTGTTTTTTGTGATAGAGATTCTCATTGATCATGAACTTGCTCGGGCTGAATTTCAAGTTGTCATCCTGATGATTCAGGCTCTCAGAATACTGGGACTGCAAGAATACATCACCATGTTGAGCTGACCCTGCATTTTCTTTATGCAGGCATCTAATGATGGGCATCTGGGCTCTTCACAGAGCTCAGTTACTGTGAGTCAATTCTCAGATACTCTAAATGCCTTCTCATATGCTGCACTGAACAAAACACTGGATTGACCATTAATGTTTGATGATTTTAATGTATTTCACAATATACTGAATCACTGCACATAATGACACAGTACAATCCTCTCAACAGTCAGGAGATAAAAGCATGAGGATCACTCTGAGTTTCAGGTTTGTATAGGCTACACAGTAAGTTCAAAATCAACCTGAACTACAGTCTAAAATCATGGATTAAAAGTAAAAATGTATATATGGATGGATGTATATGTGGAGTAATATGAAACATTATTGTACTTTTCAGACACCTGAAATATTGATTACTATTCTATTTTATTTTATGTATCTATGAACAATGTATGAGAAATCTTTAACATGAACAGCTCAACATTCTACAGGATATTTTCAAAATACCTGTTATAACAGTAGCATTCATTTGCATTTTACATCCTGATTTTATGTAAAAAATTTTTAGATCATGAAAGTCTCAGTATTCACATATATACATAAATGGATAATTTGAAGATGAGTTTCAAACAAAATTCAAAATTTGTTTATTTGCTACATATCAGAATACAATATTTAATTTTACTCCCATACAGTTTCATGATATTGAATGTGGAGGCAATTTTCAAACTGATATATTATACAGTGTCATTTATTACATACTATCAGCACTATGTCTGATTCCTACATTCAAATACTCTTCTATGCACTCTATCTATTCCTAGATAATACAAAATAAAATCAAGTTTTTCTTTTGATATTTTTCTTAAGTTAAATAAAGTATAACATGATCTCATTGCTTCCAGTACCTTTGTTGTAGTAGTTTGCTCAAACACTGAACTTAAGGAATGTTCCCTTTCTCTTTTGTGTGTCGATCAGCTTAGATTTCTTGAGCCATTTTTGTCCTCTTCTTTAATTTGTTGGCTACACCATATTCTTCCTGTATTACAGACAGACATTTTACAAAATTCACTATAAATTTACATTAAAACATGACTGATTCCAATTATACTCATGGTATAATTGGGCATGAGATTACAAACAAATGTTATAATTATCAATTATATAAAACTATATTACTCAGAAATAATTATTTCTGCTTATATAAATAAACAAAAATATCATCCTTACCTGTAGCATTAATATTCATAGACATTTCCCACATCACATCTCTGTAGAGATTCTTCTGGGATTCATTCAGCAAATCCCACTTTTCTGGGGTGAAGTTCAGAGCTACATCTTCAAAAGTCACTGTCTCCTAAATAATGACAATTGCCCTGAAGTTCAGACACACTCAACCTGCTTTTTCACAGCTCCTGTCATAAACAGTCTAACTGAAGGTCATTATGTAGTAACTGCATGTCATCACCATCAATCCTCAAGTACATCCAAATATAGTCACTCAGTAACATTCATGCTAGACTATTACACCCTGTCAAAATGATCACAGAACTGTAGCATGGATTGTCCTGCAGGGCCTCCTATACTATACTTTTCTCTTGCTTTAAAGCAGAGCTCAAAGAGGGAGCCTGCAAATCGTCACTCACAAACATCTGGTTATTCATAGCAATGTGTTCATTTTCTTGCATACAGCATTTAGAATCTTGAAACTGGTTTCATACATAAATATTTAGTAGAATATAAAAGGAGGGTTATGAATTACTAAAATATAAATGAAAATTAAGGTTTATTTGAGCATTCTATGGACAAGGAATTTATAAATTGTAATTATAAACCTATAGTTCACAGATACCAAATTGTATCTTTTTACTTGAATACTAGAAGTTCTATTAGGGAGTAAAAAAGTTAATGTGGAAAAGAATATATATGAAATATTTGAAATGCAATGAAAATTGAGGTATAACAAGGTAACTGGTTACTAAATACAAAAGGTAGAGATTCAGCCCATTTTTGTAGTACAAGTCTGTTACCCCAGCACTTGAGAGGCTGATATAAGAGGATTACAAGGAATTTCAGGATTTCCCTGTGCACAGTGTCCAGGCTGGTCTATGCAATAAGGCCAGTTCAAAGTGAGGCCATTGATCAAACTCCTTCACTGAATGAACATTAAAATTAATTTATAGCAATTTACCAATTACATCTTTGTACCAGGACTATATCTTGGTGGTACGAACATCTGGCTGACACATGTAAGGTCCTGAGATCAATTTCTAACACCAAAAAGAAACAAACTAAATGTACCTTTGATGATAGGTGAAAATTACAAAAAAAGCCTACAAAATTTCAATACTTGTAAGCAAGGATATATTTTGCATTATAAATATGGAAAATGTTCAAATTTCAACATTAACATCAGTGAAAGATTCACGGAGAATAACAAATGGGTTGCAGGAAAGGAAGAGAACCTTCAATTCAAGTAGAACATTGTTTCATGATTGAGCCAATGCTATGTGTCTCAGGAATAAAGCACAATGTGTTTCATTTACATTCAGAGACAGACAGGCATATCCTTATACATCTAGACTGTACACTCTCCTTACATATGTGCATTGGAGAACACTGAAAAGGGATAGATAAAAAGGAATGATTGTATAATTTATACTAAAAAACACTCAGTTAATGACACAGTTTCCTCAGAAGAAAATCAAGCAGCAAAGAAAATGAAAAGCAATTGAAATCTATGAAGATGGGAATTAGTCAAGAAAACACTGATTGGGAACACAATACAAAGATTTTACTTATAGAGTTAAGATCAGTGAGGACAAGTCTATAAATATCAAAAAGTTATTCGACTCAGGAGAAATAGTGAATAGAAAAAAAATGTAAATCACATTTGTAAAAATCACCAAACAATATTGAAATGTGGAAGAACAAAATAATTCATTAACTCAACACTCAGCTCCTGAATTCCACAAACTCCTTTACTTATAAGGTTATGAAATTCCATAGACTTTTTTCTAAAGTCTAGAAAACACTTTGTGCTATGATGCCTGAGAATACACACTATTCTTTTTGTATTAGTTACTTTTGTGTGCCATGTAAATATGTATCAGATATAAACAAGTGGATTGCAAATTATGAGTATTGTACCAAGTACAATTCACATTGACATAATTTCAAAAATGTGAAAACCATTTATGAAACTGCTATAAAAAGCATAGAGTGCATCAATTAGCATGACTTTTTAAACAAAGTCCAGTAACTATCAATGGATTACAATAATTACATGATCAATGGTGATTCTCCCCTCTGCACTCAGAGCAAAAAATTATTTTACAAGGCCAGGGATATAGCTCAGCAGCACAGTACCTGCCTTGCAATGTGAGATTTTGAGTTTGATTCTCAGTTTAAAAAATTGCATGTACATGTGAATTCCCTATTTCAAAGAGACCAATATGTGGGTTTAACAGGCACAACTTTAAACCCCTTTGCAACTAGTTCTTTTCAGCATTATTTAACATTCCATTATTTAAATTCTTATCATACATCCAGCTTTTAGCCCTATGAACTGTAGAAGCTAATGTGTTCAATAGTTTACTCATTTATCACATTACTCTAGATATAAGAGAGTAGTTTACACAGGCCTGGCAAGGGTCCTAACAATTACTTTCATAATAACCAATGCTAAAATGTATGTTAAAATTTTATTATGTTAAGCTTTATAAAAAATCATTATGTGATTTTTAAACATTCTAAAATGACTTTTAATTCTGAGGGTGTGTTCATTAGTTCTGGAAATAACCACCATTCCAATGAAGCTTAATGTGTAGGACACAATCTGTATTTTTAAGATTTCATATTTTAACTTTCATTTTATTTAGCATAGTTAGATGTCTCTGCCACTTCCTATGGCTGTGATAAAATATCGATCAATGTCACCTGACTTTACCCTCCATCACAAGGGATTCCAGACTTATGAAAACTAACCCTAGCAGGAAGCATAATGAGAGCTACAAGTAGCCTCACCCTCAATTCTTTCCTTGTTATGAGGCAAGAACATAGCATAGTAAATTTACCATAATATCCCTTTCCTTCTCAATGGTTGAAAGTTAATTTCTTGTGGCTTAGTAATTTTTCCAAAGTAATGTACTCAACTTGAAACTCCTGATGCTTAGATTTCTACTGTCATGTTTTGTAAGTTTGATGACTCCAAGGTTATTAGGAAAGACATGTCTGGATATAGTTTCATATGGTGAGGAATCATGATCTATGAGATCACATCTGGTACATGGCCCCTGCTTCCCAACCTCGGTCTCTGCTGAAGAATCCCCAGTGGCAGGTTGAAGATTTTATTTTGAGAATATGAGCAAACCTGAGGCCAATGTCCTAAGGCAATGGCAAACATCTGTGCTCATGCTCAAAAAATAAGAGACTTATTTTCCCTTTAATATCATACCCAGGACATACTGGTGGTTTTCAAGCAAATACAAAGTGAGTAATTTCCCATGTTATATAAACCAGTTATGCACAAAGAAGTTCATAGCTTTAAAAATGGAATGGGATATTCATACACATTATGAGATGCACCCCAAATAGTCATCACAAAACATTAATCTTTATTGGCTAAGAATTCCCTTCACAGATATTCTTCATATGTAGTAATTATTTTCTGATTCCCATAAAACTTCACAGGAGAAAAAGAATACATTTTACAAAAAAAAAAAAATCCTACAGCTACCAGAGTCATTTCATCAGAAGGAAAAGATTCACAAAATTATCTGTATATGAGACATAATCTTCCTTGTCATATTCAAGTGTACTACATCATACTCATGGAATTAAAGCAATAATTTGTATCATGAAAAAATCAAATAATCCCAAATTTCATTTTTTAATGGGAAAACTAATCACAAAATATCAAATGTGAATTGTCCATTTTTCCTGTGCATAATCTCCTTGTCTACTCTACTTGGGTATAGGCCTAGGTGCCCTACCTAGTAATTTTTATGCACCATTCACCATTTGGAACTCTTTCTGTGTGCTCACACAACTATGTATGTAATCTGTACTCTAGTAAGTCCTAGGATCCTTAGAAACCCCTCTCCCTTTTAAAAAGCTAAAACTGCCAGAAGTTTCAATCCTTCGGAGGCTGAATAACACTGCTGAACTGAAATTATAAACCTGAAGCTTTGTTACAGAGATGTCATTAAAAGATATAATACAGAAATACTTGTTATGTCTAACCTAACCCTAATGTCTAACCATCAGCTCAGTTGTGCCAATTTAAAATTTCCATTTAATCTTCTTGACAGGGGATACATGTCAAGAAATATGACCAGATTGGACTACCTCCATAGAATAATAATAATAAAAATCCAGGGGAAAAAAGACACAAAACACCCACAGTAGTGTATGCATTGACAAAAAGCATTGCACTGCTCTCCTCATAGAGCTTTGCAGGAGAAACAGATGAATACAGCTCTCCAAATTGGAAGCAAGTGGGACAGAGGACAATATGAAGACAATATATACACATGTACAGAGGACAATATGAATACTTGGAAGGAATGACATAAAAGTGATATTTGAGTCTCAACTGGAAAATGACTAAATCAACCTAAATGTAACTGATGACAAAATGCATTGAATAAGCACAAGAACAAACGTGAAATGCCAAACAGCATCACTAAACATCAGATTTTTTTCAACATGCAGAAAATGAATGCCTTGATCTTTATTTCAGATATAAAAGAAATACAAATTTATAACACAACACTAAATATCATATGTACCTTACTGAATGCAGGACACTTTGAATCATTCATTGTTCTCCCATGGTGTCCTTTTGTGGAGACCACACAGTTATCTGGATGTCCCCTGACATGAGCAGGTAAGCTTTGCATTGTGCCATGTATCAATAGTAGAAACTATGCATCAACATAAAAGTTCAATATAAGTTTAATCCACAAACATTTTCTCTTCAATATCTAAGGGCCACATGGACTGTAGAAAAGATAATCTGGTGTGGACATAAAACAACAATGTACATCTCTTATTAAAAAATTCTCGATCACTTATCCAGGGTGGCCTTGGTTTATAATCACTGTAACTCTCCCAGGTGGCTGGTATTATATCTGTAAACCTCCATGACACAGTGTTGTTTACTTTACCCCAACACTGAAACCTTAGTGAAATGTGATGACATAAAAATTAAAACACTAATCCAGGCATAGTAGTGCATGCCTGAAACCCCAGAACTACAGAAGATGATGCATGAGACTCTGAGAGTTTAGGACAGTGTGAACCACAGAAGTAGACCCAGTGCTCTACACCAAAGTAGAGGCACAACAATATATCTAACAAGGTAGCACATGTCTGTCAACATGTTACAGGCAGCTGAGCTAGTTAGAATAATTACAGGCAGTCAGATAGAGCTAGGCACTCAAATTAGCTGGCATAGAGGACCAGATTTCTAGTGACATTGGAGAAGCCACACACCTCTTACTCTGGGCCAGATCTCAAAATAGAAGTAAAGGAAATGCAGCCACACCCTTAAGTATAATCCTTAGGAATTAGGTATGGATTGAGAAGCAAGGAATCACCATTCCAAACTCCTACAGGAAGAGTCACTGATTCATAAAGAATGCTTGCTTGCCAAGTGACTGGTTTCCCCATTTGTCCCTGATTTAGTCAACTTTATCTGAAAAATTGAACTTATTGGTTGACCATATCTCTTTCACCCCTCATGCCTGCCTGCCTTGTGATTTCTCATTTTTCCCTCTTTAGACTGGCCTC